GCACTTTCGAAACCTCCCTTTGGATTTGGAACGGTGGAACTAGGGAGCTTTCCTTGTTCACGAAACTGCCCCATAAACTCGGCAATTTGCCCCATTTGTTTCTCCAATTGATCCACCCTTTTGTCTTGGTTTTGCATAGCCTTCGCTTGATCGTCCTGCCCATTAGACAACTTAGTTAGTATCTTAAGAAGTGCATCATTGTCAAGAGACGTACCTGAGGCACTTGGGCCGGATTGGGCTTGATTTTGGGGTGGGCCGTAGGTTTTGGGAAAGAACCCAGGGGGTTGTTGCCTAAAGCCTCCTTGGTTTTGAGATTGTTGGGGCTCCCTCCATTTGAAATTTGGGTGGTCTCTCCAACCGGGATTATATGTGTTGGAATAAAGATCGTTCCTTGGTTGGTTTTGGCCTTGAAACCCAATTGCATTGGCGCTTTCCCATCCACTATTTTCAATCAACTGTGGACATTTTTCAGAGGCATGTCCATGCATAGAACATACGCCACATACAATTGGTCCTTGCATCTTCATGCCCTCGGCCAACTGAGACACAATAGAAGTAAGATTAGCCAATTGTGAATTAATGTCGGAAGTAGAACTTACCTCATGAACATGTTGTCGTGGGGGTCCTCTTTGGCCTACTCCTTCGTATTGTTGAGCGTTCAACGCTCGATTAGAAATCAAGGTCTTGGCAGCCATAGGTGTTTTGTCCACTAATGCTCCACCTGCCGCGGCATCGAGCATTTGACGTTCTAATGGTAGGAGGCCCTCGTAGAAGTATTGCAAAAGTAGCTCCTCCTTCATCTGATGTTGTGGACAAGAAGCAACAAGTGATTTAAAACGTTCATAGTATGCAGGAAAAGACTCACCTTCATCTTGTTGAACTCCACTTATTTTTTTACGAAGAAGAATGATGCGAGAAGTTGGGAAAAACTTCTCCAAAAACGCTCTTTTCATACTCTCCCATGAAGTGACAGTGCCAGGAGCCAACTCGTATAACCAATCCTTAGCTTTATCCATTAAAGAGAACGGAAAAGCTTTCATCTTCAAAATACTTCCGTCAATATTGACGGGAGTCATGCTTGAACAAACTACTTCAAACTCTTTAAGATGCTTGTTTGGATCTTCCATGGAAAGCCCATGGTATTTAGGAATGTGGTGCAACAAGCTTGACTTCAACTCGAATTCATCGGTCTTGCCTTGGGCAGCCGTGGGGTATTGAATGCATAATGGTGCGGCATTGGCCAACCCTGAGGCCGAAAGCTCTTTAATGGTCCGATTGTCCGCTGCCATAACTTCTTCTTCCACTTCTTCAAACTCAGATTCGGCCTCTGAACTTGAACTAGGTTCGCTACGTTCGGGATGCCTCCTCTTTCTTCTCAAATCACGTTCAAAATCGTCGTTAAAGTCTAAGATATGTGCATGCACAGTTTGAGAACTCCGCGTCATGCACGAGTACCTAAAAAACAAGAAACAAAAATAGGTCAGAAACTAAAACAAAATCAGAAACAAAGTGAAATAAATGAAACAAAAACAATCCAAGGGATTAGCAAAGTTGCTAATCCCCGGCAACGGCGCCAAAAATTTGATACGAAATATATTAAGCACACAAATTAAACCCTCTTCTGACAATTGTAGCAAAGTATGTAAGTAGGGATCGTTCAAAACCGGGGATTAGGAAGGATTGCTAAACTCTTGAAAACTGACCTAAGAACTCCAAAACAAAGTTAAAAACACTAATTTGGACTCAAAGAATGAAAAACTAAAGTTAAAACACTAAAACAAAACAAAAACTCAAAACAGCAACTAGAAGACTCAAAAATGCCTAAAAACCACTTTCTGGGCAGTTTTGAGCACCTACACTAATTTGGACGAAATTGGTTGAAAACTTGACTCAAAACACTTAAAAACATGAACCAAAACAATTTCTAACTAAATTGAGACTTCAAAGTAAAGGGGGATTTGATTTGGACGAAATTAAAGTTGAGAAAACAGATTGCAAAGTAAAACTGATTTTGAACCGTTTTTGGGGTTTTTAATGGATGATGGACTAGTTAGGGGTTCTTTCTCCACACATGACAAGTATGCAAATGACTCGATTTCCAGTTATTCCTTCATAGAATTATGAATGACAATGCCCCAAATTAACCGTGACATCACTAGTTAATTCTCAAGTTTTTCTTGTGTTATTGAATTGGATGACATCATACGACAACCCAAAGCATTCTTCAAAAGTTCCTTACATGACATCATAATAAAGATACAATCAAAGATCATTACGTTCAATGAAAACTATAAGCATTGACAAAGCACTTGTGACTATGACATCATGACACTTATGCTAGGAATTGAACTTAACGCGATTGTGACTAGCAACCTTCACTACTTGTGAATATAAGTGTGTGACAATTATGTGAAACAAACTTATATTCTAGCATCATATTCATGCAAGCCAATTAAGTGTCGACCCCTAATTAACAAACACAAATACGTTATTACTCGCACAGTTAAGCCAATTGCATTCACGATTCAAGAACTCATAACTGGAATTTATCAAATCAACTTACACACATAATTATGGCTTCGAAATCACCCCTAACCAATGGGGGTTTAGCCACTCATGTTCATAGCAAAATGAAAGGAAAATAAATTAAACATTGAAATCATAAAACGAATTACACCTAGAATGCACCAACGACGAAGCTTGAGCATCCAAGAGTCCTTCCTTCTTTCTCCTTGCTACGGCACAAAGGTGGATGGGGTGGTTGGGATGTGTTTTAGGATCAGGGATTATGGAATTGGATGGAGGATAGGCACGGCAAGGTGTAGTGTTTGGCTGGAATTGTGTTTCTAGGATTTTAGGATGTGTAGAATGGTGTGGCTAGATGAATGGACGAAAATTGGGTGAATGAGTGATCCCCCTTAGTGCCTTGCTGCAAAGCCTTATTTATAGGGCTAGGAAAGGTAGGAGACAAGGTAGGAGACAAGGTAGGACGGCTAGGAGACAAGGTAGGACGGCTAGGACAAGGTAGGACGGCTAGGAGACAAGGTAGGAATTAGGCACCATGTGTGAATAGATAAAGCCTTCTAGAAATAAGGTTTTTAGGCCCCCTTGCAGCTCCCTAACTGAATTCAAGCCTTCAAATTCGTCCATCCTCATGCCTCCATGCTTGCACTATCCAATCTTGGCCCAAAAATGCTCTAGAATGCTCCAAATTGCTTCTTTTTGCATACTTTGACACTAAAACCTGAAATTGCACGAAAATGACTTTAAACACTAAACTAACTAAGGAAAAACAACATAAATGCATGAGAACAAGCCAATTAAGTCACATAAAAATGCTCCTATCAAGAGACAACTACAAGAAATATACATTGGTCAGTCAATCAACAAACAAAAAAATGAGGAAGCAAACTGTAGGTTTATTTCAGGTAGAGAGCAAGTAGCAGCTCATGTACACAATCAAACAACTTATTTTAGAGAGCAAGCAGAATCAAACAACTTATTTCAGAGATGAAACATGGGCTTCCTCAGTTTTAAAAGTTTGAAGAAGCAAACTGCAGGTTTAAATTTAATTACCAACAATTAAACCGAATCTGTTGACAAATATACCCATTCTTTCTGTATAATCATATCATGTAAAAGTGAAAGATTAAGGAGAAAACCCAACTGGGCTCCAATGCTAAAGCTAGTCTCCAAAGCTACGAGCTGGACGCCCCAAAACCTCTCACTCAAACAATTTAACTATCCCATCCCATATGATCTCTTTCATGTATCAGTTAATTATATATCTTATTCGTTGAATTCAAAAGTATATATCTTACAACTCAAATTAGTAAGGAAGGTGCTAAAAAATTAAAGTTACATACATACCATCACTAGTAAAACGTGATAAGTTAGGACTAAATAGTTTATGAATCCCCAATGCTAGATGTGCCACCATTCCTTTTTTCTAGAACATATAAAAATCAATAACTCATTAGAAAATAAGAAAGTAAGCATGCAACAAAACAAGAGAGAGAGAAAAAAAAAAAAAACAAAGTAATGAAAAATAAATATTCATACCTGTTTCAAGTGTTTCATAAAACTTTATATCTTCCAAGATTGTCTCGTCGTATAAAATTGAGATGTTATCTGACATCAACCAATTTTGAGTACAAATTAACCTCTCTACCATTAGAGGAGTCAATAAAGAACGATACGAGTTCGGAATCCTTTCTCTCATGCTAAAGGCAGATTCTGAAGCTACCGTTGAGACCAGAATTGCAAGAACTTCCTTTGCAATTAGTGCCAACACTGGGTATTTAACACCATTCAATTTCCACTAATTTAAAATATCAAAATCTTGACCTACTTCCACTTTTTTCATTGTGATCTAACTGGTACCTATCAAACTCATGGTCCGAGAGCATGGCATTACTTGCTTCAACTTCTTTTATCCAACTTTCGTCCATTTCTGCTCGTTTTTCCCCCTTTCCATGTTGTTTTGGATCAACCCCACCAATAGTAGTTGTAGTACTAGTAGTCTTAGAACAACTATTAGCATTAGAACCACTTGGTTGGTTGGAAGAAGGAACATATCATATAGTTTGAAGATTAGGCTTTTTATCTCAACCTTCTTAGCTATGACTTCATCAATATTACACCCACGACGCTTTAAAACATGTGGCACGTACCCCAGTTTATATCTTGGATTAAGCACAAGTCCCACAAATAGAAAAGGATTCACTTTAACAAGATCACCCCAATACTTATCAAATTTTACCTTCATGCTTAGTGCCATTTCATGCAATATCAAGCTTGTGTAGGTTTGAGTTAATAACATATCTTATTCAACAAACAAATCAACTATCTCTTCGTCAATTGCAAGCAAATTAGAAAAAGTACTATGACAATCCAAATGTAAAGTAACACTCATCTTCAATGTCATTTGATAGAACACTTTCAAAAAATTGACAAAGATAGCGGCATTGCTCCAATCTTCCATATTTGGTGGCCCATACCTCTTTTTACCATTGGAAGGTCCACCCACCCATTTTTCTTCTCCCGACAAATCTTCTCCAAACCATGACAAGTATGCAATCTCAGCATCTCCCATTCTCACAAAAGCTTTTTCAAAATTCAAAGCATTCATTAACATCAAATAGGTGGAATTCCACCTAGTTGGCACATCCCAAAAAACAAGACCCTTGCATTCAATTTTTTCCTACTTAACACAACTCCTAAAAGTTTCCACCCTGTGTGGAGAAGACGTTACATATACCAATGCATTCCAAATAGCTAAGATGGATTTATCTAACGTCATCAAACCATCTTGAATTATCAAGTTAACAATATGAGCACAACACCTGACATGCACATGCTTTCCCTTAAGTATCATTCATGAATTTTTCCAATGACACATCTTTGTCTTCAAATAATCTATTGCCACCTTGTTTGAAGAAGCATTATCAACTGTGATGGTTAGTACATTCTCCAAACCCCATTCTATCAAACAAGCCTCAAGAAGTTTTCCAATGGAGTTCCCCTTGTGATTAGCTATGACACAAAAGTTTAGTATTCTTTTGTGCAACTTCCAATTACTATCTATGAAATGTGCCGTTATCACCATGTAGTTTACCTATTGAAGACTTGTCTAGGTGTCGGTTGTGAGGCTAACTCTGTTTTCAATTTTGCTTTTATTTCATCAGACATGAGGACAAAGTGCCTCACAAGTGTCGTACGAGATGGTGGATAAAAATGGGGGCAAACAATACTACATTGAAACCTAAACCCTCTCACTTCAACATGTGTAAATAGCAACTCATCTAAGACAACCATATGTACCAACACCTTTATGCAATCCTCTTTCGTATTCCCCCTAGCCATAAGAGTACCACCACCATCATTAAAAGACAAAATCTTTTGCCTTTTATCTTGATTTATTCCCGAGTAACTCTTACATCTTTCTCCCTCAATATGTTTTGTAACGGTTGAAGTATCATATCTCGAAGGGTTAGCAGTAAAGGTAGTAGAACAATGCTTACACCTAGCTTTCCTTCTAATTATTGTTTCTTTGGTCCCATCTGGCTTCACAATGTTTTCTATGTCATCATATTCAACAAAATGCTTCCACACTTTTGCCTTACGCCTACTGTTCACAAGAGGAGGCAATCGAGGAATACCACTCGGTTGAGTTGGTGATTATGCTTGGGGTGGAGTTGGTGGTTCGGGTTGTGGTGGAGTTGGTGGTTCGGATTAGGTTTGAGTTGGTGGTGATGATGTTGAACCTGGTAATGATGAAGGTAATGATGAAGAAACATATGCAACAGAAGAACAAAAATCATGTGATTTTGATTGGTTCATCATCCCTAAAATAAACACAAAAAAAAAAAAAAAAAAAAAAAAAAAACCCAAATTCAACACAAAGTTGTCATTCACATACATATTTTGAATTATAGGAATATACTGGAAGGTTATCTTCAGTTCTCTCTGTCTGTTGCATCAGTATATAATGAACTCCTAATAATCTAACCCGTCTATTGGAATAAGAACGGACAATTACATACCTTTAGTTCTTTCCATCTGTTGCACCTGATAATCTAACCCGTTGGTCGGCACAAGGTTTCCAAGAAACAGAAGGAACTAATGGCTTCAACCACAAATCTTTTGGCTCAGATTTATTCTTCTGCCCTTGCATCATTCAATGTACTGGCCAAAAAAGACACATTGAGTGATTAGAATGAGATCTCATCAATTAACTACACTCAAATTCCAAGATGAGGCAAAGAAGACAATACCTCTGCAAAGCAATTGAGGAATAATTACTCTAAACAAGAAGATTGCAGTAACCTTATTGTTCTCCCTCAGATCACCAACTATCTTCAAATCTATAAACTTTGGAGCCGCTATAATTTGACAGAGCAAAAAATACAGGAAAACAAGAAGAATTCAATGACAACATGCCAACATCATAAAACCGAACAGAAGCATAGAACATGTTAAAATTACAACCGTTATCATCACAACATATATAGAGACTTGCATGAAATGGGCACGCCAAATTGGCGATGTCCCAAACCTAACATTTGTCGCCAAGTGTTTTACCTTCCCACATGTCAATGTGCCTTTGACATTTTCCAATAATATACAATAGCAAGCATTTTGCATAGTTAATGTTAGTAACTATATTGTAGAATGCATATGTTTCGGTGAAGTCAGTGACCCAAAAGAGCAATTAGCTTTAGAATAGTATACATAAAATGTACATGTATATATGCAAAATGCAAATGCACAGATGACCCAGAAACGTGCATCCTTGCAATTTCACCAAGTATTTTAAGCATGTACGGTTAGATATACCCTTTCTGCAACATAGAAGAGAAGAACCACCAAAACTATAATGAAAAAGAACAAATACCCTGTCTTGTAACATCCATTTATTTTAACTCCTTCATCATGGTTATCTTTTTGAAACAGTTCCCCTAGATTGTAATTTTATTACATCTTCAAATATATAAGAACAAATGAATTAGTTCTGGAATCATAGTGAAGCGTATGGTAACAAAACAAGGAGAATTAAAAATAAAATAAAAAAGACTTTGGCAGCTATGGTACCTCAATCTAATGGTCCATCAAGTAAACTATGCGAGTGAATCCAAAGGTGTAGAGATTTTGTATGTTTAGTGTAGAGGATACAAGTGGGTGATGAACTAAGCATAACTTATGCTTCCTCTATTTCTAAATTAGACACCAACAAGGAACCTATCTGCAGGACAGGAGTCAAGGACTCAATTAGACAGTGTTCACACATATATAGTGCAGGTAAAAAAGAATGGACAATCAGTGGAACTCAACCATATTCCTAATCTCAAATATGAGAATAGATAGAGAAAATGCCAAGTAGTGAGGATGGACCGACAGAGGACGAAGTGTCGTGAGCTGTCGCGAATGAGGGATGATAAGGGCTATCGCAGTTGAGGTTATGGGCTAAATCGTTGATATTTTGGATGAAAGATCGTGAGTAGGTGGTTGTCGGTCGGCTGTGTGAAATAGGGGAATTAGGAATGGGCTGTGAGTGAGGCCGTGTGTGTGAGTGAGGTAAGGGTGAGGTGAGTGAGAGTGAACCTTAATTGGGATGGGATCCAATGCTTTGCAATTTGGTGAAACCAATTTTTCAACTTATCATACCATGACATGTGTGTATATATATAATTTATTTATTTATTATTAATAAAATGGTTCGGTTTGGTTTTGGCCGGTTCTTGGTCCTTCAAAACCGAAACTATAACCGGTTTGAATGATCCGATTCAGTTTTTTACTCAAAGTTGACTTTTTTGGTCAACACGGTTTTTTTTCATACGATTTGGCGGTTTGGCCGTTTTTATGCCCACCGCTAGTCGCAAGATTAGAATTTTAAACTGTTAATCTTGTTGGCTCGTTATTGCTTCGATTCTGAAAGCAATGACTACATAAATCAAATTATGCCAGTGAATGAACAAAATTAGAGGCAAATTCATCATCGAAGACGATGGCGTGAAATAAAAAAGGCAACATTATATACCATGTATGTAATACAATTATTGTTGAAAAAGTTAGAAGCGCATAAACAAAAAAAGTAATAAAAGAAAAATATGAGAGAATTCTTTTTGTTGTGAGATAAATCTAGCACATGTGTATTTGTGCAAACCATTAGTAGAATGTATGTAGGATACTAGAAGACCTTATCTCTTATTAGTGTATTGCTTGTCAAAAAAGGAGTCCTATCCAATTCACTATAAACAAAAGAACAGATGATGAGAAATACGAATCACAAAAATTCCACAACCTTCTCTTTTCACTCTTTGCCGCACCTTATCTTTCCCTTCAGTAAAATAGGCATTATACGTTATCAAGCATGCTCGTGATGCTGTGGTAAAAAACTGAAGGATATTCTGTTACAAACTCGTTCACAAGAATCATCATAGCAATCCAGGTTCTTCTAAAATACGAATGCCGATATATTTTCATCTTGATCGCATGCATCATGTACCCTATGTTCACACCCAAATGGCCTAGCAAAATTGTTTATAAGTGCCTTCAATTGATCGCTCAGACCTTGGTCATGAGGACCAACCTTCTGAAATCTGCTTGCGGCTGTGAAATTTTGCATGCAACTATGTTGATTCGCTTGAGACCCATTTTTACCCAATCCATTTCACCGTCACCGTTACAGCTGATTACTGCATACTAGCTTGACGTCTCGCACTTACGTGTGTTTGATTGCTCAATTTATGCGCCAATAACGCCACCACAACGTACCAAAATGGGTACTTAGAGAAAAGTGAGAATCTATGTTAGCTATGATTTGTAATCCATTATTTGTTACTTAGAGCCCTTGACATGCTATCTTTTACCGCATGCTTTGCGGATTTTCAGGAAACAGTTTTTATGTCGTTATGGGGAAATAAGTACATTAATGTTCCTGAAGAACACTGTGAATTGTCGTGCATTAACCCTACTATGTCTCATATAGATCACCGTATTGCACAGTCTGAAACAAAAGTGAGATGCATTTTAGATCTATAGAGTATTGCTCGAAGTATGCCGAATGCTTTTACCGATCCAGCAAAAGTGATGAGGTTAGATATGCCAATTGTAAATATGCTTGAAATGATATATGTGACACACACACATCGAAACATAACCCCAGAAAGACGAGCTGCCCTTAATGTACTGCACCTATTATGTGGTTGGGCATACTAGTAGCTGGCCAATCATCTGTTCCTACACTAAAACGTGGTAAACTTGTTTGTTCAAAGGATTCGCAACCCCAGAAAAGGAAATTCACCATTGCTAACTCATCCATTCTAACACATTATGTTATTCTAGATTACGAAATAGTCATTGAAGAAACGAATTCGCTCCCGAGAATTGTGAGATTTTGGTCCATTATGCTAGCTTGGATGTACTTTGGAATTGAAATAGGATGATAGTTATACGATAACACTGAATCGTGTTCTGCTAATGAATGTCGATGTAGAATGGATTAGTCATAATGGAAAGAAGCAACCCAAGTTGAACTTGATTCACTTGTGAAACGTAAAGTGTTTGAGCCCGTAGTTCCTACACCTTACATGTTAAGCCCGTTGGCTACAAATGGGTTCTCTAAGGAAGCGTAATGAGAAGAATGAGATAGTGCGATATAAGGCTTGCTTCGTGGTGCAAGGATTCTCTCAACGCCATGAGATTTATTACAAGGAGATGTATTCCCCCATAATGGACATGGTAACAACGTATCTCTATAGGGATCTTTATATGAAAATTTATACAAGAGTACCTGAAAGACTTACATTGACTAGATCAAATAGTCATAGACCACAAAACAATCTCTCAATTAGATTGAGGCATTCACTCTACATATTGATACAATCCGGGCGGATGTGGTATAACCTTTTAAGTGAGTATTTGAATAGATAAGGATATGTTAAGGATAACTATGCCCATGCATGTTTATCGAGCGTATTTATTTACACCCAGTCCTGTCGTACATACCACTTTAGATGGTTCCGACTCGTGTGCAGTCATACTTGTTGATCTATTGGTTGAGCCGTACATGTCACATTAGGTGATTCTGGCTGGATGGATGAGCTATAGATTCAGCCGTACAGGTCATGTTAGGTGACTTTGGTTGACATATCATTTGCATTGATTATATCACCTGACTTACATATTTACTGCTGAGATATCTGACATGGTATATACTCGGATTTACACTGCTTTTAAGCTGGATTTTCTTATATATGTATGTATTTTATTTTCTCGGAAATTATACAGGTGTTACGGCGATGGGTTAGTACCTTGAGAAAAGAAATGGTTCTAAAAAGGTTTGTTTTGCCCACTCACATTTTCTATTTTTGCACCCTTCCAGATTATAGTATCAAAGTTTCTGTATCAACGAGAAATCGTGGCACTTCCTAATGCAGGTGGCTTGTTTTGACGGTATAATTATTATCTTACCTTATTGTACTTTACTTATGCTCTGTATCATGTGTGAATGAGCCCATACCCACTCATCGCGCACTCGTGTATTTAGACACTTTTAGGTTTAAATTTATTCATAGTTTGCCCATTATCACATTTTATGGCTTTGTCACCTTACTGGTGTTGGCCAGCACAACTCGATTCGGAGTCTTAGTGGATATTCCGGGTCGGGGTATGTCAGATAATATTAATGGGTCGATTTTGGATAGAGTCATACTATCCGTTTACTTTAAACAGGTTTTCCACAACACAATCCATTAATATATCAGGTATGTCATAAAAACAACATGAACATGAAAAACACAACACGAATACCAGGTCTAAGTTTTATCTAAAGTGGTAGGGGAAAAGTGTCTACTTGTACACGCCTTGAGAAAATTGTTCTAGAGCGAGGAATTTTGTGTTATGCGATCAAAAGTGTTTTAGCTTTGCTTTTTTTTTTTTTGGTCAAAAAATATATTTTGTTAGATTAAATGTTACATTAACTACCAATGCAGTTTGAACTCACGCCATCATGCTAAGAGCTTAGCACTATATTTTAGTTTTGGTTCTTATTTGTTTTATCTTTTAATTGCTAGTTTGTCAAGTGGAGATGAAAAAATAGGGGAGAGAATCCTACTTCGAGGTGAAGATGGCTACATACGTCCACATCACTTTGACCCTGATTACTTCAACATCAAGTTTTAGTTTGCAGTCATGTAGAAGATCTTACATATGAGATGGCAATGTTGAATTCGGATCCTCGTCAGATCCTCTTTGTGAGGATCTCGGGGATCTATCAATCATGTCTGTTCATCGTACATCGTACAGTTAGAAATCATATTACATTCATTTATTTAAAAATAAACATGAATAATACCTGATAAAAACTGACCGCACGATACATAATGAACAAACATGATTTACAAAATTCATAGGATTCTCAGAATCTTGAAAGGATCCCGTTGTGGTAATGTTTATCATTCAAGTCCTTCCAGTTACTTTTATGATTTGATTTTGACTTTACGATTTTATGAAGAAAGAGAACAAAAATGTAAACAGCTGACATGATAGTAGAAGTTTCAGTTTGAATTTAGATAAGCACTTTTAAGCGCAACATTTCTGCTTTATTGTCTTTGCAAGCTTAGTATAAAATCCAAACAAGGAAGGTGATGTTAATTTATAAATTCTGATTTTTATTTAAAATTTAAGTTCATTTTTGTCATTTAAAAATAGTGTAAGTGATTATTTGAAATTCAACTTGTTTTCAATCAAGATTTTAAAATAGTTTATTAAAAGGGATCCTTAGAAATACAGGTGTTTTCAATTATGATTTTGAAGAAGTTTATAACATATCATATGTATTCAATTAGAAATTTATTTTAATTTTTTTTTAAAGAATTGAGGAATTTGAGGGAATTAGAGATTCGTAGCATATTTTAAGCGTTCACAAATATCACCTCAGCTCTCCCATGAGACAAAATTATACATAGAATAAGTACAAATCAATTAAACTCTATCAAAATTTATAGAATTATAAATTTATTCTTCAAATCTCCATTGAATACAACCTTCTTAAATATTTCATCAATGAAATTTTTTTGTTTTTTTTTTTTGAGTATCATGATATATTTTACACTAAGGTACCATTTGGTACGTGGGATGGAACGGAACGCGTTCGTCTCACGTTTGGTGCGCCAAAGACAATGTGCCACGCTGTCCCAAGGAACGAAATTTGGTTAAATTTCCGTTCCATCTCTCCTTCCTGGAACAGGTGGAACACAAAATTATAAAATTTTAAGACAAAATTATAAAATTTTCGTTTTCTTGATTTTTCTATGGAAAATTTCAATTTTCTGGGAAAATAGGGTAATTCTGAAAAAATAAGTTAGTTTTATTGGTTTCACTGGTTTAACTTGTGCTTGGGAATTGTATTTGATAAGTGGTCTGTTTGTGGTTTCATTTTCAGTTTTCCTTTTTGTTTTTGAGAGTCCCCCACTTTGTCGATCAATCTTCAGCCTTGTCTTCCTCCCAGAGGTCCAAAAAGGTAATTCCCTACACCACCTTCGCTGTAATGCCATCGGATTTGTGTTGTGTTAGTGTTGTTATACAAGCTTTTTCTTAAACTGCCCTGGGTTAAGGCCAATAGCATTACTAGGTGTGAGGAAGAAGCTCTGAATTGTAGCAGAAAGTTGTAGAAGCCCTTGAATCTCTTAGCAGGAAACCCTTGAATCTCCTGAATTTGGGACCTTGTTCCATTTTGCTCTGAACTTTCAATTTGATATTGAGCATCCTAGACTTTCAATTTATGCTAATATTCCCCCAATAGTCAAGTCTTTCACAATTTTTGTCACAACTTTTATGAGACATATTTTGTGCTATGTCAACGGAATGGTATATTGCAAAAAATTAGTAATACTTAATTTTGCAGTGGTTTAACACAATCCAACTACAAGGAACTAAGTATTTTATATGAAAAGTACAAAAACAAAGTGGTTTGGATGCCACTTTGCATACATTTAATGGCTTTGCGTATTGTGCAATATACATGTATCTTGCAATATTTTGGATTGGTTTTTTTGACGTAGTTTTGAATAGATGAATATTATTTCAAAAAACTGATATATGAACACAGAAAAGTCCGTATCTGGCAGTAGTGCTAGAGTAAAAAATATATCATACATAAGCATATATGTGTTCAAATATTAACAAGTTCCAAAAAAAAAAAAAAAAAAAAAAAAAAAAAAAAAACTATCCCGTTCCGTCCCACGCATAAACATTGTACCAAACAACAGACGAAACAGGGGTAGGTTAGTCATTTAATCTTTTGGTTCCGTGCTGTCATGCGCTTACCAAATGCAGAACGGAACAACCTTTCCCGTTCCGTCCTGCGCGTAGCAAATGGAACCTCCGTTCTGTCCTGTACCGTCCCGTTCTATTCCATCCCATTTGTGTATCAAATGGTACCTAAGGGAAGAGGAGTTTGGTTACATAATAGTCAACCTAATTTAGTATCAAAATTGCCATTTACGAGATTCGAACGTAAGCCCTCTTATTCCAAATAAAGAGAAATACCACCAAAAAGTAAGAATGAGTGACATGAATTTGAATCTCACTTGTAAAGGGGTCGTGGTTTCAACCATTATTATGGAATTCCAATTAGAAAGAAAAAAAAGCCCATGTAAAAACCCGAACCGATTAAAGTGAGCATTCTGATCTCCCTCTCCTTCCTCATCATTTCATCTCTCTCAGATTCCGGGGCTTTGCAAGGTCTCGAGACATTCATGTGGTCGTCTGTTACCCACGGTAACGTTGGAGTTCTACGCTACTACCGTGTTCTCGTTCCACGTAGCCCTAAATTTCCTCCTCCTCTTCCCCTTCCCAGCTTTCCTGCTCTGGTTTTCATGGACAGCAACAATCGCAACGTCAGCAGCAGCAGTACCTCCAGAAGGTAGTTTCTTCCCCCTCCCATTTCCTCTCTTATCCTGTTTGGTTGCTGAGAAAATCAGGGAACGAGTTCCAATTAAAAAAAAAACAGAATTGCGACTTTCCATTGTTTTCTGAGAAATTTATTCAACTTTTGAATTGTTTCAATCAATTGACGATTTATTGAACTTTTTTTTTTTTTTTTTTCATTTAATGGTAGAGGAATAATACTGGATTTTTTTTCTTACATATAACAATACTGTGAAATTCTGATTGTATATTTTTGTGGGCAGTGGAGGAGGAGGAAGACGTTGGGAGGTGAAAAATGATGGAGAACGATCGAGGGGCCGCGGTGGCAGCGGAGGTGGTGGCGCTGGAAAAGATAAAATTGATGCACTTGGTAGATTATTGTAAGTACTGCACTACCCACTTAGTCTTTGTTTCTTTGTTTTGTTTGTATATAAATGTTAATTATTGGTAGAGTAATGCAGCTTAATGGCATAGTTTATTAAAACTTAGCCTCTCTGGTAATTTTCTAGGACGCGTATATTGCGCCATATGGCGGGTGAGTTGAGTTTGAATATGCGAAGCAATGGATATGTGAAGGTTAATGATCTGTTAAAGCTGAACATAAGGACATTTGCTAATATTCCATTGAGATCACATACTGTTGATGAGATTAAGGAGGTTAGTGAGCAGTTCTTGATAGTCCTTTATTTGTCACATGAACTTACTGCCTAAGAAGCATGTTTAATTATATGATACTTCTTGTTAGGCTGTCAGAAAGGATAATAAGCAGCGCTTCGGCCTCTTAGAAGAAAATGGGGAACTTTTGATACGTGCGAACCAAGGCCACACAACAAAGGTAATTTATCTTGAATATCTGTTTTGAGTCATTTCATGGAGATACGAGACCTTTTGTGAAGTGCTTGAATGGGGAACCGTTTTTCTTGGATTACTATTTTACTGCTTTAGTCACACGCTATCCTAGTAGTTTTTGTCTGTGTAATATTGTGAAGTCATCACAAGGTATTAACTAGTTTCTCTTTGCATAATCTATTGAAAGAACAGTCAGGTCAGAGTCTTTCTCTGTAAGTGGAATCTTTGTTAAGACTTGAAAATTTGTCGATGCTGGAGAATTGTTTTCTTACACTTGACTGGATATCCTTTCACTATTGTTCTTGAGCTCTGAGTTTCAGATCATTATGTAGATACTTATCGAATGCTTAACAAATCAGAATTTAGGGGGTTGTGGTCAGTTTGGATTTCAGAGGATTTTAATGGATATTTTTTAGTGATAGATTTCAAAGGATTTTAATAGACTTTATAATTCTCTATGGATTTTAGAAGATTTATATGGATTTTCATTATGATTTTTGTGAATTTGTATGGATTTCTTAGGATTTTGAAAAAATTGAAAATCACATGCAGAGCCGTTGGATCATTTTTAATGAAATCATGCGGCTGTGACTCAAACAACTCCAATGTTCCAATGTGTGTTCAGTTATGGGTCTCCCTCTGTCTAACCTTCCTTCATTCAGTCTAGCAGACCGACCACAAGCTGCAAGCCGCAAGCATATTCACCATGGTAGTTCCATTCCCTTTCAATCCCATGCTCACTATTTTCCTAAACTTCAATGCACACTCTAGCTTCCTGCCCTTCCAGTACCCACCAAGCATAACATCAGAAACCACATTTCATTAATTTCCGGCAAGCTCCACTTCCCCACAACAGTAATACATATGAATCAACAAGTTCTGCACATGCAGCACAGAGTTCACCCCAAAACTAGAAAGTACAGCTATTGGGAACAAAGCTCAGCCCAGCTCCGAACTCACTGAGCTTGTGCAAGTTATGTGGGTTTGGGGTAATGGAGATTAGATAATTTTTGGCGATTTGAGGTGATTTTCCATTGAAAATCGGTTTCGTGCAAGGAGCACATGGGAGAAAAAAACTGATTGCAGCGATATGTTAAAAAGATATTGAACCATCGGATCTCAGGTAGGGCAAAAAATGGAGGAAGACTGTTCCTCTTCTGAGAAGAGAGAACTTGCCAGAACCCAATAGCTGTTTACAAGTAGAATTTGAAAAAAAAAAAATCCATGATAGATGAGAATGAAGACGATGTATTCGAAGTCGAAGAGGACGATGGGATGTGTTCTGAAGAGGAAGGTATAGATGAAGATGAAGGGGTTGGGAGGTTCTTTTCTGTTTGAGGGCGTGAAAAGAAATCAGATGGGGGATGGTAGGATTCTTGGTAGCATTTGGTATATATACCATCCACCTTCAAATCCATCAAAATCCCTCTCCCATTCAAATCCTATCAAATCTTTTGCATTCTCACTAACTCTGGATTTAGATGTATTCTTTAAAATCTTAATTGACTATCCTTGGATTTGGATGTATTCTTTAAAATCCTCTTAAATCCTACTTTGACTACACCATGATTTCTAAATCTTTTAAAATCCTCTTTTAAAACTGTAACCACCCCCCCCCCCCCCCCCGCCTTAGTTCCCCAATTTATTTGTGATGTGCAAGCATTATGTTTACCATTTTTATTTTTTCGTTATGCGTTTTTGGATTGAGCATCCATCTATACTTGACTTGGCTTTAACATTATATATTAATATCTACTCTCTGTGTATATTGGCAGATAGTTGAATCTGAAAGATTGTTAACGCCAATCATTTCATCCGAAGAAGTTCCAGGTTTATCTTTTAGTCTGCAATCTTATTGTATTCTTAGCACATAATTTCTCTGTCCAGAATGAAGAGTTGTTTGTGTTTCTATGGAAATTGTACCTTTTTGTTTGCTTCACTGTTTTTCTTTCCCCTTGATATGCAGTTTGCGTGCATGGGACCTATAGGAGGAATTTGGAATCGATATTAAGGTCCGGTCTAAAAAGCATGAAAAGATTACATGTTCACTTCTCACGTGGCTTGCCGATAGATGGGCAAGTGATTAGCGGTAATGTGTTTGATTAGGAATATTTAAATATGTACACGAACCTGTTATGATGAATCCTTTTTATTTCTAATCACATTAACACACGTCCGGAGAGGGCCATTTGTGGACCCAATTGCTAATCATCTGTGCAATTTCTAGTAGGCCCGAATTTGCTTTTTATGTCTTTTGCTTATTTTTCCATTTTGAAAGGATCAAAATTGTCTCATAATTCATCAACTCCATAGCGAGTTGCATACAAGTCTGCATTACTGAGGGAGCTAGTGAAGTAATACCGTTCATTGGTGAACCTATTGTTTATCTGTTACCCTTTGAGCCTAACCTTGAGGCATTTGGCATTCTGAGGTCACCGATTGTTTCAGGATTCTAGACTTCTTGAAAGTTTTTGGGTATAGTATTGTTTACTGGGGTACGACTTGTACTGACTTAGTAATTCTCTCTTTGAAGTGGTAATAACTATCATGACTTAGTGAGCTATAGTGACAATGATTGTGAAGATATCGATAAGCTATTCATTTGAATCCACGGCACGGACATTATCCATCTTACTTTGATAACTTATTTTCTTGGCATTCTTTTAGGTATGAGACGCGATGTTAATGTTTTGATCTATGTCGATGTTAAAAAAGCTTTGGAAGGTATAGTTCGCAAACCTTTCATTATCAAATGCCCGAGCGCGTTTTATTCTTTATCATGGCAGTGCAGGGAGCATCCAGGACTTCTTTTGCCTAATTTCTTTCTTTTTAATCTTTATTGCAGAGGGAATGAAGTTTTACATTTCAGAGAACAAGGTGATCTTGACCGAAGGTTTCGATGGTGTTGTTCCAGTCAAGTACTTTGAGAAAATAGAATCATGGCCCGACAGAACGCCAATACCTTTCAGATGAATCTGAACCTAAATCGGTTGGGGTGCAATTTTGAACCTAGATCTGTTGGGGTGCAGTCATTCCATTTCTCCGTTTAATTTCTGTCCCATTGGATCGTTGTGTCAGCTTAATGAGATACAACACTTCTCTTTTTTGCAAGACATGTTAAGCCGGTCGTATCCTTGTATAAATGGAAATCAAATTGATGTCTTTGTGTCCTGATTGCTAGTGCTAGGAGTCTACTTTTCGTATCTAAACTACATATTAATACAAACTCTGTTTTTCAGTCATAACTCTAGAAAATTATGATTCTAACCCTCTCATAAAAAATGAACAAAAATAAAATACATGGGCAATTAGTAAATTACATACGACACAAACGTTGATATTTTTTTTACACAAATCTAACAGCCAGGTATTCATAACACCCTATTTAAAAATTAAAAGTTAAATAAAAAAAATTAAGAAGGTTCTTTTTAACCTGCGTCTTTCACTTCAATCCCCTCCCTTTCTTCCAAGTTCCACGCTCAATTTTATTTCGTTTAGAAAAAACAGTTTTTATTTATTTTTATTTTTTTAAGTGATATAAATATTTTCAGAACAAATAATAGACAAATTTTATTACACATGTAACGTGTGGGCATATGACTGGTGTATCTAATGAAAGCGGAATGAAGTTAGAACCATTGCTAGTAAATTTGGAAAGCATCTAGAGTCCAGATTTAGGGTTTGATGGGTTTGTCAATTGGTACCCATTTAGTTAAATGGAGGCATTGTTCTAAAAATCCCTACCTAGGAGTTAGGCGGTTGGCCACTGCTCCGATTAATGACTAGGCGTTTGAAAATTTAGAAAGGGCGCCTAAAGCTACTGAGGTGCCCGCCTAGACCACCTAAGCACCCGCCTAACTTGTCCAGACACGCCTAGATACCCGTCTAGGTTGTAACTCACTTAGACAAAAAATATATAACTTTCATTTTGCATTATTATTTTTTTATATAAATTGTAAGAAACTTGTTGAATACTAAAATGAACACAAATTATATGCTTGTTCCCCATTTTTCATTATGTTTCAATAATATATATGTCATTCTATCTTGTAATTTATGATGTAATTATATATATTTTAAGTATAAACAGACACTTATTTACACGAAATATAACAGATTTACTTAAATCCGCCTAGGCGTTAGGCTCCAGCCCACCGTCCGACTAGCGTCTAACGTCTTTTAGAACCTTAAATGGAGGTCCATTTAAATGTAAACTATGTGTTATTAGTGGTGGTGAGTGGAGTTTGTGCTTGTCATTGTGATAATGGTGATGTATGGAGTATCCATGGGTACCCATTTGACCATCCCACGCTGCTAAAATAAACCTGAATTAATTCTTTATAAAATGGAGACCTACGTACACCAGGTAATGGCAGTATCACAAATCGGTAGTGCACCTATAATATCAGTTTGAAATACCACCACAATGACTTGCTTCCGGAAGAGGTTTGTCTTGCTGATATTGAATTTTACAAATTATCTGAATTGAACTTAGACTCAAGGCTCCATTTATTGCAAGTAAAAAATATTTTTAAATTCTTGAAAACTAATCTTTAGAGGCTCCTCTATGAAGAGAAACTCCTAAAAAAATTGGTGCATGCCACTAATTGCGGCTAGCACACAGTATTCTTTAGTAAAAGGTGAAGGAGTAGTTCGCTCTGCGCTCACCTCGTGGCAGCGTGGATCCCAAATGTTCCATTTTCTCTGTTTTTAATAGCTGTGTCGATCGTGATGGTTTTACTTCTGTTCCATGTGAGGTTTTGAGAAACAAGCAGCAATGGCCTTCTTTCAATTTGTACTGGATCTTCGATTATCCAATCCATTAATAGCACACTACAACTTTAGTGTAACCCTTTAAACATTTTAAGGTTCTTATTAGAAGTATAAAGATGTACGCTTCAAAACAACACAAAAGATGGATGGATAGCAAGGTTTCCGAGACAGTTAAATAGTACTCGGTGGTATTTGACTCAATCTAAGGGACGATTTGGAATTTATTCTCCAAGAAGCACTTTTGGTTATTAGCATTTTATAATAAGTACTTCTTTCTATTAGCAGTAGATAAAAATTTGTCATAAATATGTTTCATAGAAAATCACTTGAAAAGTACTTTATGAAGAGTTCAAAAGTACTTTATGAAGAGGTGCTTCACCATAAACACTTTTTAATGTTGTTGGAGAAGTATTTTATGGTGAAGGGTTTTCGTGACTAATAAGTATTTGAATGATTCTTTTGATAACCATTCGTTTTTTAATTTTATATTGTGTGCTTGTGTTAAGAAGAGAAATACAAAAAGAAAATGAGGAACGAAGAAGTGTGAGATGCTAAGAGAGATGTAAATGAATGTATAAAGAACGACACTCAAAATGACAAAACAAAAACAAAAAATCAAAACTATTTTAACTGTTTTCACTTTTATGATTTTCTTTTAATTTCTTCCTCTTTTCTCTCACATAAATTTTTTTCATCCATCCATTTTTTCTATACAATCGTCCTCATACCTCAAGCACAAAAGGTGAAAAGCAAAAATTAAAAAGGAAATGATTCCAACATTAGGAATTGATCGTCCGAAAGTACTTCTAGCATTCCTAAAAACAACCTCAAACAAGCTATGAATCTCTTCCAAGGCTACAACATGCTGCTTGGTAAAGAATGATCGAGGTTTGCGTGTCATGTTTAATTCGAGGAAATGGAATCACGGCCTCACAGAAGGCAGGGACCTCTTTGGACCTGGAATGTAGTTAATGTGTAAATAAAGTACTTTAAAGCCGGATTGAATCGAAAGCTTGCGCATAGAGATTAGAGAACCATAAAGTTGAACTACATTGTAGGGTTCTCTTGTGAGAGAAATCCCTTCACCAAATTGGTGTATGCCACTAAATGTGCACGCACACGGTATTCTTTAGTAAAAAGCGAAAGAATAGTTCGCTCTATGCACACCGCACAGCGCATTCTAGCAGGGACTCTGTTTTGCCTCTTCCGATGTGGGATTGCTTGTTAATTAATGACGTTTTTCTAAGTTGATATCTTGGGTAGTCGCATTTCTCCATTTAATCACATCACGTGACAAAGGGCATCAAGATTAACAACCATATCTTACTACTAAACTTGGAGGATGAAAAATATAACATAGGAGGACGAAATTTTTTGGGGGCCCTCAATAATTAGGAGCTACTAGAAAAAATGCACGCGCTTCGCTGCGGGTACAACCTGAAAATTTACAGGTAAAGAAGCAATCATTTACTGAAGTATAAAGAAAATCTTAACAAAAAAGTGTCTAGTTTGAAAAATAAATGAAATTCAAAATTTCTTGATAAAAACTAAAAACTTGAAAGCTTAAGAAAACCCCATAAATCCAACAAAGAAAAGATGCAAACTTTTGCATTGGCAAACCATTCATAAACCAAAAATGATATCTTAAACGAAACCCATGAATCCAACTGAAAAACGCCCAAATTTAAACGAATCAAGACAAACAAAATATCAGACACGGTTCATTCTCTCTTTGAATTTTAAATCACTTGATATATTATCGTCTTAACATTTCATATACTCATGCATTACATAAAAAATGATATCTATGTTAAAATTACTTGGACTGCTTTATCATGGTTTAAGAAAGCAACCCCAAATCATAGTATCTACATATTCCTTCAGATTGTCTAAAACACTAAAACAAAATCCTCTCTTCTGACTACATGTTTAAGATACATGAGCCCATACAAACCGCTTCACTGTTCACCTATACCCTCAGTGCTATAAATCCAAATAAAAAAACCAATATATAAAACTGGCTGCGAACCAACACACACCAACAAACTAAAGATACGCTTGAATTGTTAATCAAATCAACACACACAAAAAAAATTAATAGCGCGAGAAACAACAGCAAGCATACCCAGCAGCAGCAAGCAGGCACATCCTGTCACACATACACACATTGAAATTGAATGCACTCTCATACATGTGTTGTCATAAGGATGCAAATTACTTGCTGCTTCTCATGTTTATTAATTTTTATTCTATAATCAAATATAAATCACATACATACTCCAAAAACCAAAAAGAGAATGGTGGAAAGGAGAAATTAGAAAATCATATTGAAGAGCCTTCCAAAGTACATTAATAATCAAACTAATGAATGTGATTTGAGAAACAAACCTCTTTTCGGGCGTGACTGATCAGATCCTGCTCTTGCATTGCTGGTTCTACACAAAACACAAAATCCCACAAAAAAAAAAAAAAAAAAAAAATTTAATACATAGTCCATACACAAATCAACCAACAAATAAAAAAATCATCTTTTTCATTCACTTTCTCATCCCAATAGAACACATACTGAAAAACGATTAATCACCTGTATGGGGGAACAACCTGCTGATACCCTTCATGGCCAAAGCCGACACAATCTCCTATAATTTCCTCATACTTTGTTTTTCTTTGACAATTTACAAATGCAAAATTTGGATGATGCAGTGGAAGATCATGCTACAAATTCATACGCAAAACTCACAAAAAGAAAATCCGAACAGAAAAACCATTTGTAAATTGAAAGCCTTACTATAATCCTTGGTTTTTTGACAAAAAAAAAAAAAAACAGAATCCTAGGTTTTCTTCAATGTTTAAAAGTGTTGTAAATTGAAAAAAAGAAATTACAGAGAGAGAACACAGCAGTATAATCAATCAATTTGATGCATATTTGAATCAAGCCTCATTAAAAACAAAAAATACAGAAGCACAAGGCATATTTACTACGCGTAAGAAAGAATATGAGCACCGACTAAAAAGGTCAACAAAAAAGGAAAATTCGTACTTCTAGACATACTGGGAAAAAACATGAACCCAGAATGAAACATGATTTTTTTTTTTTTTTTTTTTTTTCTAATACGCATAAGAAACAGAACATTTTCATTTAACAATAACCTTGAAAATGTCTTTCTATTCAAGTAAGTTGGCCCAAACTTAAAACTGATAGATGATTTCGAACAGTTTACTTTGTAGCCATCATTAACATTACAAATTTTTAGAAGTAAAGCAGACAGATTTGTTTAGTTGCATCAGGCTCCTCAGTTTCCAATTGACATGCCAATTTATGGTCCACTGCCCTTTCTTTTTCAGACAATAAATCTAAAACATTTATATAACCAAATGCATCTGATAGTAGAAAACTATGTAAATTTCCTAGGAGAGTTCCTGAACGGGAGAACCGACAAAGTATTGAGTTGATCATGGCTTTTATACCTACTTAGCTGGTGGAAGAAGTATCTCAGACATAAGCAATGCCTATGAATTGCTCGAAAGCGCATATTCTTGGAATTCCTCAACGCAAGGGCAGCAACAAAGAGCACCCATCTTTGCATTTCCACCAATATATACAAAAGAGTCTTGAATTTCTGAAGACAAAACTCGATGCTTTATGTTGCTGAGAGCCCCAATTGAGACTCTCCCTAAAATGTAATAATTACTCCTTTCACAACTATTTCATAATGTGGCAAACACCTTACTGTAATTTGTCAATATTACACTTTGCTACAATTACTCGCTAATTTGAGTGCAAAATTCCTTTACACAAACAAAACCCCGTCACCGCCTTCTCCACCCAAGCTCCCTATCATCGGAAACTTGCACCAACTAGGGTTGTACCCTCATCGCTTGTTTCAAGCATTATCTCAACGTCATGGCCCTCTCATGCTTCTACACTCAGCAAGTGTCCCCATCCTTGTTGACTCTTTAGGACTTTAAAGCATGATATTTGTTTTGCTTTGTATCCGCGAAATTTCTACTTACTGTTGTTCTCAGAAAATTAGGAGAGGACAAGAATTGTAGAGCATTTTGCGAGGAACATTGTGGATGGTTTCAGCAGTTGAAGATATAGGTGTCCCTTTCTAGTTTGTAAGGTTCACATTGAGGAATCTTACGCTGTGTTTTTTTATTTCCTATCATAACTTTCAAAATCTATTTTGCGTAGAATTATTATGTTTTTGTTGACCTTAAAACCTACTTAGCCTACGTGGTGTGTAGACCGAATAGCTAATGAGCTAATTACGTCATTCGGTTGAATGTGGGACGTGACAACTCGAAGACGAGCTGGGTTGGTGAGTGAATGAATGTGGTGGTGGCCGTGTCAAACATGCGCTCCTTGTTTTAACCAGACCCTTAGAGCAAGCCCAGAGTGGGCAGTTGCTCGGGGGACGGGGGTGAGAAAAGGGGCCCGAGGCCTGGTGGACTGGCTCCAGCGTTGGAGAGCCCGAGTGGAGGTGGAGGCCCGAGCTTCGAGCCCGTGGAGAATTGCTAGCCCGAGCGCCTGAGGCCCTGTGACGCCAGCGCTGACGTCAGCCTAGCGTCAGGCCTTTTTTAATTCTTTTTCTGTCAGGCGCGTGCACCTCACTCGCGCATGGGGGCGCGTCGCTGACAAGAAATCAGAAAAAAAAAATTGCTTTTTCAGTGACCGTTGGGAAGCCACGTGGCTTCCCACGGTCCGTTCGATCTCAACGGTCAAAAAAAAAAAGAAGTCTTATTTAATATCCACCGTTCGATCTAAGATCAACGGTGGATATTAATATGCTTTATAAATAAAAAAAATAAAAGAAAAAATAGTTTTAAAATTAAGAAAAGTTACCGTTGTGATACGTGGCACAATCTGGAGTGTTAGAATTCAAATTTTTTTATATCCAATGGCAGAGATTAATTAGTTGAATAAAAATTAAAAAAAAATTGTAAAAAATTCAAAAAAAATCTGAATTTTTTTTTTAAAAATTGTTTTTACTTTTATATAAATACATTCTCATTATCATCTACCTTACACAACAATTTCATATTTTCTCAACTACTTTCAATCACATTGCTTTCTTTGTCTCAAAGTTTGAATCCATTTTTTTTCAACAAAATGACCAATGGTGCAGGTACGAATTGGTCGCTTCTTGAAGATGTTGCGTTGTGTACTAGCTAGGTTGAAGTTACTCATAGTTCGCTTACGGGTAATGAGATGCAATTGCGAGAAATATGGAGTCTTATTCATACCAATTATCTTGAGAAAATTGGTGGGAAAAGAACCAAAGAATCGATGTCCAGTCGTTGGAAATTACTTAGCCAATCGTTTAGTACGTGGAGAGACGCCTTGGCACAAGCTAGGAGTAATATTCGAAGTGGGGAAAATTACTCGGATCAAGTAACAATATATTATTTATTTGATACCCAAATTTACATTATAATTATTTGTTTGTATTATTTATTTGTTACATACTTACATTTTAATTATTTGTTTGTATTATTTATTTGTTACATACTTACATTATAATTATTTGTTTGTATTATTTATTTGTTACCTAAATAATTTATTATTTATTGTTTGTATTATTTATTTGTTACTTATTTTCATTATAATTATTTCTTCTCCCGCATTGTGTAGGAACTTCAAGCACAAGCTTGGTATGTTGCCAAAACCAAAAGCAAAAATAAATCATTCAACCGGTGGGAATGTTGGAATATTGTCAAAGATTGTCCTAAATTTAGAGTTGTGCTAGTCGGTCCAGAAGTGCACATAAACAGCACCCTTCTACACTCTACACCCGATCATGTCTCGCATGTTCATGAAGATGATGCAGAAGAAGTGCCCGAAACGCCCCTCCCTGAACAAGCGTCGGGTTCGACCTGTTATCCCATTAGGCCTCAAGGTAAGAAGGCTTCAAAGAGAAAATGGAGTGTTTCGAAGAATGATTATGCAAAGTTCATGGAAGAACTTACTCGCCAAGGTGAATTGACTTTGGCGAGGGAACTGGCGAAATATGAGGCTGATAAGGCTAGAGAAGACGCAAAAACTGCAGCTATTGAGAGAGAATTTCAGGCTAATGAGAGAGAAAGAGAGCTACTTAGGCAAGAAAGGGAACATGTTAAAGAAGAAAGACAGGCTCAACGAGATCGTGAGATCATGAACACGCCTTTAGAAGGGAAGTCTCCAAATTCTAAATTTTTTTGGAAGTCAGAGAAAGCGGACATGGTGCGAAGGAGGCGTGCAAGAGAAGCGAGAGCAAGCCAAGATGGTCCTAGCACCACAAGAGAAGATCATCCTAGCACCACAAATTGGTTAAGTGATGATAAATAGAGTAGTTTTTGTAATCGGAGCCCATAATTTTCCAATCACTTTGGGTTGTAATTTATCATTTATTGTTTGTATTATTTATGTTGTTTCCAATTTATTGAATATTTATTCAAATTAATTTGGTAAGTTATTTATACTAAGAGAATATTTATTGAAATGACAAAAACACACCAAATAAAATTACATAAGCACACCGAATAATAAAAAACTCACTAAAAAAATTACATAAACATACCAAATAATAAAACACACCAAATCAAATAACATAAACATACCAAATTCAAAAAAACACACTAAATTAACTTAATTATCTTCAGCTTGTTTCAATGCCCATTGGTGCTCTATCAAGTCAATTTGTCGGGCATTATGCATGTCTGGCATTTGAAATGCAGTATATCGTTGAATGAGCCTTTCATTGTAACGTCCATCCCTTTCTAATGGCTCATGTTGCACGGGCTCATCGGTGGCGTCATGAGCACAATATATACGTGTTCTTGAATTGTTCATCGTGTCTGGCTCATATTCATCAACGGCTTCATAATCGTACTCATCTTCCACAATCATGTTGTGAAGAATGATACATGTTATCATGATGGATCGAAGCGACTCTACATCAAACAATCTGGCAGCACCCCTAACGATCGCCCAGCGAGCTTGGAGGATATTGAAACAACGCTCCATATCCTTCTTGCACCCCTTTTAATAGCTTGCAAAGTGTTTTTTCTTTGCACTTCGTGGACGTGGCACTGTTTTGACAAATGTTGACCATCGCGGGTAAATGCCGTCAGCTAGGTAGTATGGCTCGTCGTACATACGTCCGTTGACCTCATACGTGACTTTTGGTGCCTTTCCTTGCAGGACATCGTTGAACACTGAGGATTGGGCAAGGACGTTGATGTCATTTTGAGCTCTGAGACCTCGAAAAAGGCGTGCCAAATCCATGTATGAAAAGATGCCACCACCTCCAGAATGATACTTTTTGCTCATTTTCTGTCCCCATAAGCGCCTTGCCATGCACTTGGACAGTTTTTCCACGTTCAGTGCATACAATCAATGCTTTCAATCATCCTAGGAAAACCACGCATCTCGGCCTTCTTCAACAGCCGTTCCAAGTCCATGTTTGTAGGTTTGCGGAGGTACTCAGTGGTGTAGATAGATTCGATTGCTTCGCAAAACCTCATCAGGGACTCAAGAATGGTTGATTTCCCCATCCTCATTATCTCATCCACTTGGTCTGTATATAGGCCTGGCAATTTCTGACACGACCCGATAACCCGACACGACACGACACGAAATTAACAGGTGTTTGGGTCGACACGATAACGAATCGGGTCTTATCGGGTAACCCGATAAGCACCTGTTAAGATAACGGGTCGGGTCGGGTATACACGTGGGTAAACACGATACACGATAAGCAGAATATTATTTTATAATTTTATAACCCCTAAAAAAATATTGTAATAATTATATACATTAATTTTACAATTTTATACCCCTAAAAATTATAATAAATATATATATATATATATATTAAATTAACTATAAAATTTATAATAATTATAATAATTATATATACTATAATAATTATACCCCCAAAATATTAAGTCTATCTATACTAATTATATTATATATATATATATATATTAAATTTTATAAAAATTATAATGCATATTAATTAATAATTTAATATGCATGATCATGCATTTGCCAACTTGCCGTCCTTTTTGGAAAAAAAAATGGAGGGAAAATGAAAATGTTAAGAAAAGTTGAAAATAAAACAAAAAAGTGAGGGAATTAGGGAAAGATGTTGGAGGGAAAAGTGAAAATGATAAGAAAAAGTTGAAAAGGAAACAAAAAAGAGAGGGAAAAATGAAAATTAATAGAAGTGGTGACAAATTTTTTTTTTTTTTTTAAGTTATTAACTTTTTATCACACACATGACTGTCATGACATATCTCACTATTTTTATAATGAACACGTGACACGTGATGTATGTACTATTCCGTGTACCAGTCAATTATAATTTATACGTACAAAATAAATAGATTTAAATCTACTTAATAAATATATATATATATACACACACACACACACGGAACTTGATTGATGGCATACGAATTCTCCAAAACTAATTTCAACGATCCAAACCGTCAAAATTGTTTGTATATGCTTGGAGATCATATCAGCAAAAAATCACAAAAAAAAAACATTCAGAGATCAAGTAACGGGACAAAGCTTTTCAACGGTTATAAACGAAAAATCACGATTTAACGGTTATTTTAACTCCGATTTTGATGATTTTTTATAACTACACTTCTTGACCCTATATGAATACAATGAATGAATTCGATCTTCAATTT